TTGCATTCATAAAACCAAATTACAATTATAAAGATTAGAAGCACCGGTCACCTCTCCTATTAAAGACCCACTATAATGAATGACATCAGTATCTGTGCTCCTGTGAGCTCCTATTCACAGTGCCGCTTGCACAGAAATTTTTTTGCATTGCGGTCCTTGACTACATACTCTATGGTAATATCAGAATTACAGCTCTAGCCGCCCTGTACTTCACTAACTTTATCTAGGTCTACGATTTCCATAAAGGCAATCTGCACGCACAGGAACAAGAATTTAAGCAACTTGTAAAAAAAAAAAAAAAGTACTTTACTTTTGTGATCAGAGATTATTTATGTATAGGAAGCAATATGGTGTTAAAAAACATGTTTAATACAAAATTGTTAATTGTATTTAAGAAAGCTCAAGGCCATGTTTTGAACTCTAGATTAGAGACTTAGATCTGAAACCCCCAAAATTATTTTTCTCATACATTTAGTTTTCCAATTTTTAGGTTAAACTGTCACCATTGTAATATTGCAGTACGGCCTCTTAATTCATCTTGGGACAGACTCCCTCAGGTCATGATGTACATGTAATGTGCTCAGTATAAATTGATTTACTAATGTAAGGATGGATTCCATGCTCTAGCCTGTAAAGATTAAAGATGTCCTGTGTTAAATCCATATTTTGGCACTTGTCATACATATGAAAAAAATCCTTATAGAACAAGATTAACTCCAGAAACAATGTGAACGTCAAAGCAACCACTACAGGAATTCGTAGCAATCTGCCTGCCACATGAAGGCATTTCAGCAATCTTATAAATATTACGTGATGTTTATGAGCATCTCATCTACAAAGTTTAAGCTGTGAATCTCTTCCCATTCCCCACCATTATAATAGTGTGCAGGGTATATCTGAAAAGTCTGCAAACAGAATTTCTTTTTTGTAATCTTTTCCATTTGGGAAAACAGCAGGCCCAATTTTTATGCCATTCCAAGAAATTATGAAAATTTAAGAACCTCCTAATTGAAGCTTAACAGAACAGAAAAAAAGTGAAGCAGGACAGAAAAGAGGCATCGTGAGTTTTTGGGATGTTCACTACACTCACTTTGGAGACAATTTACAAATCTAAGTGACATTTTAAATATTATAGATGATAGATAAGAGGATCGGTCATAAACCATTAAAGCAAAATTGGTACTACATGATTTGAGTTAATCCGTATATAATGAAAGTACCATTTTACTAATTTAAAACCTGAAGTAGAGGATGTCCAAGAGTGGGTGAAGTAAAACAAAAAAGTCTCCTAATTCTGCAGCATCTATTAGCTCTGAGGCATCTATACAGGACCAAGAAGCCTCAACCTCTTGACTTATTAGCTATTAAAAGCAAAGTCTAAACATTTATTGAAGTTCCATTCAACAAATATAGTACTTTTAGTACTGAAGATCTTAACAGAGTGAAAAGCAGTACTTTTTCCTCAAACCTGGATAAAAATTAGAAACATAAACTGGCATCACTAGGACCACCTAACAGGTTTAGTTGGATTTTATCCCATTGAAAGGAGTTTCTAAATCCAGAATTCAAACATGCAACTTTCTTTTTTTGAATAGCAGTTGTAGTGTAGTGAAAGAAGACAGTCCTTTCAACTTTTACTGTGATTTGTAAAAGTAAAAGTGTACCTTCAGTGTGTTAAATTATCCAAATGCTAGCATTCAATACAAAACATCAAATGGCTGAAACAGGCAAAATTTATAATATAGCTATAGCTCCACTTCCTTTTTATAATCTTAAAAAATACTAACCCGTCATATTTATATTTTCAATCGCATTTTGATAGTAGCAATTCTGTGAACATCTTTAATATAAACCAGTAACTGTAATTGAATAAGGTACAATACAATTCTACACTGGATAGATCCAGCCTGTTTCAATCCTGGAAAAACTGCCTCAACATTGATAGTTGGGCTCATTTTAAAATATTCGTTTGAAACAGTTTTTAAATTTGTTCAGTTTAAATTTGAAGTAGCAGACTCATAACATTTAGGAAAAGTCTGTTATCTTCTGAATGCTGGCAGTATTGTACAATGAAGTAGCATTTGAAGCATAAATGAAAATATGTTCAATAGAATTCTGTACCAAAATGTATACCTCAAGAAACAGTTCAAAACTAGGGCTGAGGATGCTGAAAACACACAAAACACACATGATCATATCGTCAAGCTCATAACTTTGGTTATGTGACTTTGGTTTTTCAAATACTGCTTTAGCAGCAAAGCAAA